CTTCCGATGGCGTACTTGGAGAGCTCTTCGCCGAGAACGTAGACCTCTCTTTTGGTCAAGTCCTTGACGTGCTTGTTTACCAGGCTGAGATCGGAGAGAATCTGGCGAGCTCGAGCTCTCCCGATTCCATGGATGTACTGAAGCGCGCACTCGAGGCGCTTATCGTCCGGAATCTCCATTCCCGCTTTCACGAACATGCCTTGCGTTCGCTGGCATCGAATCTGCAACTCATGGAGTAAAAATGAAATTCAGACGAGTATGAAAATCGAAAACCCCTGTTTGGATGCCTAGAAAATGTACGAAAATTGAAAAATACATACGCTTTTCATTTTTATTGAGATTTTTCAGAAAACTGATTTTTTTCAAAAATGGGGTTTTTTTTGTTATTGAAAACTCACCGATAAAGATTGATGAATTTGAAGGCGAACATTGGAGATGATTGTTGTAGCCGAAGCTCGTAAGCCCAACATCGTGACGATCAAAATCTGATTCTGGGGATTGATTGTTGTGCTCTCTGCCTTTTACCAGTGTCAGAGCTATGAGCAATTTTCATGCTTGTTTGTCCAGGTTTCCTTGTGTAAGCAGTTTCTGTTCAACTCCTAAATGGGCTTTCTGGCAGAGCCCTAGAATTTCCTATTGGGCCCCCTTGTAAGTCCACTATCTTTTGTACTTGAAATGGTGGTAAATAGGTCAGTTATTTTTAGATCTATCCATCATTAAAAATTAATGGTCCATTTGAATTTTAGGGCATGTTTGGTAACTTTTTAAAATAATTTTATTTTTGATATAAAAATAAAAATAAGATTAGTATTAAAATTATTTTGAGACCGATTTTAAAATTATGTTTAGTTAAATTTTTAAGATATTTGAGTATAATAAAAAAGTGAAATCATATTTGATTATAATTATTAATTAATATATTATAACATTATTAATAAGTATTAGAAAATAAAAATAGGAAAAAAATAACTTTCAACCGTTTTTTAATTTCTTCACAAAAACTATTCTCATTGTTTTTTATTTTCATTTTCGTTTTCAAATATTTGCTAAACAAACACGATTTGCAGATCGTTTTCGTTTTCATGATTCCAAAAATGTGCAAAAATGTTTTTAAAAACAAACAAAAATTAATTCCAAATGCACCCTTAAAGTTTTTATTTTCCAATTTTACCCTTATCGTCCTCTCTCTCTCTCTCTCTCTCTTCTCTCTCCTTTCTCTTTCTCCTTTTGTTGGGGAGATCATGGACCGCCATCGGAAAAGTTCGGTGCTGTCAGAGGGCTATTGCCGTTAGAGATGGAGGCAATATCTGCTCGACAGTCGTTCCCTTTGTGCTTTTGAGGAGTTATCTGTAGAGAGAGAGATAAATACCCTTTATTCTTGATAAATACCATTTTGTTAGTGTAATTATTTAACTAAAAAGGTTATGAATCAAGAGTAAATAGTAAAAATCATGACCTGTGAACTTTTAAAGAGTATTTGTCAAGCTTATTCTATTTTATTGGACGAGTCCTTTGAGCTGGAAGTAGTAATAATGAAAGAAGGATGTATGGCAAGCAACGACATTCCCACAATAACCATGCATTTGTTTATCTTTAACAATGCCATCATTTGATCACTTTGTGAAAAACCCAAAAACAATATAATTATTTGAATGAAAGGAGAGAGGGGACTTATTATTTGTGAGAGTAAGCCTATAACTCAACCCACACATTTGACACGGGGGCTGAATTGTCTCAACGAAAATCCGATAACGTCTTAGTAATCTATACTAATAACTTAACCCACACATTTGGTATTGTATATGAGTTTGTCACAGGAATTGCATTTCTTGGAATACCAAATTGTTCCATTTTCTTTTACTTTTTTAAGTTTTTCTTTACTACTAAAGACACAAGGTTCATGTATTTGAGGTGGTTGTTTCCTATTATTGATATTTCCCATTCCAAGTTCAAAAGATTCATATATTAGGGCTTCGTTCATTTAACAGATTCGAGTTTTTAGTTCTAGATTTCTACAGTAAAAAGCTCTCAGAAAATATCACATCTACATTTTTCTGCTACAGAAAAGTTCTTACAAAATATCACATCTTAACTTGAATTGAAAACTCGAATTCACGAAGTAAACGAGACCTAAATTGCAATTCCAACTGGAACAACAACAAACATCCGCGCGCATATACCTCTTGGTGGAAAAGTAATAAAAGTTAGGGTGAGATTTATTGACTCACATAATTCTAAAAGGATTCAATTTACTTTTTATACACCTCCATTATTTTAAGATTATCTTTAACTATTAAACTCATCAGTTCATTATTCCAAGAATTTATTTTTTTAGGAAATTTTATTTTTCTTTTTACACCTACTATTTTATTTTAATTTGTTATTCAGATAATTACCATTTATTTATCTCTGTATATATATTTTGAAGTTTTGGACATAAAGTCTTTTTTCATATATATATATATATAAAGAAAATTTACTATCACATTTTTATATAAAGAAAATTAAGATCCACGATTACTATCCAAAGGAAATCAAGTTGTTGATCTTGTCTGCCAAGTTTCTCCCAAAAAATAATAATAACACTTTCTCCGTCATAAGGGGCAGGTAAATGCATGACAAATAAAATTTTGGTATAAAACACATTTTGGGTTTTATTTAATATCCTATTATGAGCTTACATATTTAAGTGACAATTATATTATGGGCAACCTAATTTAATAGGGCCGAGATCTAATACTAATTAAATTACTGGATTCTAATTTGACTTAGTATATAAAGTCACCTTATTAGGTTGTGGTCCCCAAGTCAAATCATACATACAATTTGCTCTCATCCTCTTTCCCCACTCAAGAGAGAGAATTTTGAGCACTAAAGAATAAATTTGACTATAGAGGACTCCATCCCTCTCAATTTCATCATATACTTTTCCTTATCTATTATTCTTAATTCACTATGAAATTCATGTATCAAACAGTGAACGTAAATAATGACATAAAAAGTGATGAAACAAGTGTTGCAAACTTTTTTTTTTCCTTCATGTGTGGTTTCTGATTTATTTTAACAGTGAATTCACATCTATTTCTGTGGTTAAAATATAGAGTTCGAATTCCCATTCTAAGTTGAAAAATTTCATATACTGGCTTGCAATTCTAACCATCCCTCAAAACAAAAAAAAAAACAAAAAAAAAACACAAACAAACAAACATGTATACATATCTCTTGGTGAGGAGTATAAGAAAAGCTTGTAAAGAAAGCTTTTCAACAAAATCTGGAAAGAGAAAATTAATCCAAAGATTGAGAAGTAAAACTGATTCTCATTAATCTTGAAATCTGTTACAACCATCTATTTATACATAACTTAATACAAGTAAACTAAGCTCAGCTAATGAGGAGGTTACACGTGTAATTCCTAACTACTCTAATGAGAACTAATACACTTCTTAACAGTCCCCCTCAAACTTAAAGTAGCTAAATCTTCTACTTTAAGTTTGCTGCGTATGAGACCAAAAGACGAGCTAGAAACAGCCTTTGTGAAGACATCCGCCAATTGATCAATTGATGGAACATGTTGAACTTCTATCTATTTTCTCATGACCTTTTCACGAACAAAGTACAGGTCGAGTTCTATATGCTTCGTCCGAGCATGTAAAACTGGGTTTGCTGTTAGATGAACCGTGCTAAGATTGTCACACCAGATCACTGGTGTCTTTGTTGTTGTCTTCTGAAAACTGAGTTCAGACAAGAGAGATTGCAACCAGGTCATTTCTGCTACCACACTTGCTAGGCTCCGGTATTCAGCCTCTGTGGATGACCGCGATACCGTATGCTGTTTCTTCGACTGCCAGGACACTATGCATTTCTTGGAATACCAAATTGTTCCATTTTCTTTTACTTTTTTAAGTTTTTCTTTACTACTAAAGACACAAGGTTCATGTATTTGAGGTGGTTGTTTCCTATTATTGATATTTCCCATTCCAAGTTCAAAAGATTCATATATTAGGGCTTCGTTCATTTAACAGATTCGAGTTTTTAGTTCTAGATTTCTACAGTAAAAAGCTCTCAGAAAATATCACATCTACATTTTTCTGCTACAGAAAAGTTCTTACAAAATATCACATCTTAACTTGAATTGAAAACTCGAATTCACGAAGTAAACGAGACCTAAATTGCAATTCCAACTGGAACAACAACAAACATCCGCGCGCATATACCTCTTGGTGGAAAAGTAATAAAAGTTAGGGTGAGATTTATTGACTCACATAATTCTAAAAGGATTCAATTTACTTTTTATACACCTCCATTATTTTAAGATTATCTTTAACTATTAAACTCATCAGTTCATTATTCCAAGAATTTATTTTTTTAGGAAATTTTATTTTTCTTTTTACACCTACTATTTTATTTTAATTTGTTATTCAGATAATTACCATTTATTTATCTCTGTATATATATTTTGAAGTTTTGGACATAAAGTCTTTTTTCATATATATATATATATAAAGAAAATTTACTATCACATTTTTATATAAAGAAAATTAAGATCCACGATTACTATCCAAAGGAAATCAAGTTGTTGATCTTGTCTGCCAAGTTTCTCCCAAAAAATAATAATAACACTTTCTCCGTCATAAGGGGCAGGTAAATGCATGACAAATAAAATTTTGGTATAAAACACATTTTGGGTTTTATTTAATATCCTATTATGAGCTTACATATTTAAGTGACAATTATATTATGGGCAACCTAATTTAATAGGGCCGAGATCTAATACTAATTAAATTACTGGATTCTAATTTGACTTAGTATATAAAGTCACCTTATTAGGTTGTGGTCCCCAAGTCAAATCATACATACAATTTGCTCTCATCCTCTTTCCCCACTCAAGAGAGAGAATTTTGAGCACTAAAGAATAAATTTGACTATAGAGGACTCCATCCCTCTCAATTTCATCATATACTTTTCCTTATCTATTATTCTTAATTCACTATGAAATTCATGTATCAAACAGTGAACGTAAATAATGACATAAAAAGTGATGAAACAAGTGTTGCAAACTTTTTTTTTTCCTTCATGTGTGGTTTCTGATTTATTTTAACAGTGAATTCACATCTATTTCTGTGGTTAAAATATAGAGTTCGAATTCCCATTCTAAGTTGAAAAATTTCATATACTGGCTTGCAATTCTAACCATCCCTCAAAACAAAACAAAAAACAAAAAAAAAACACAAACAAACAAACATGTATACATATCTCTTGGTGAGGAGTATAAGAAAAGCTTGTAAAGAAAGCTTTTCAACAAAATCTGGAAAGAGAAAATTAATCCAAAGATTGAGAAGTAAAACTGATTCTCATTAATCTTGAAATCTGTTACAACCATCTATTTATACATAACTTAATACAAGTAAACTAAGCTCAGCTAATGAGGAGGTTACACGTGTAATTCCTAACTACTCTAATGAGAACTAATACACTTCTTAACAGTCCCCCTCAAACTTAAAGTAGCTAAATCTTCTACTTTAAGTTTGCTGCGTATGAGACCAAAAGACGAGCTAGAAACAGCCTTTGTGAAGACATCCGCCAATTGATCAATTGATGGAACATGTTGAACTTCTATCTATTTTCTCATGACCTTTTCACGAACAAAGTACAGGTCGAGTTCTATATGCTTCGTCCGAGCATGTAAAACTGGGTTTGCTGTTAGATGAACCGTGCTAAGATTGTCACACCAGATCACTGGTGTCTTTGTTGTTGTCTTCTGAAAACTGAGTTCAGACAAGAGAGATTGCAACCAGGTCATTTCTGCTACCACACTTGCTAGGCTCCGGTATTCAGCCTCTGTGGATGACCGCGATACCGTATGCTGTTTCTTCGACTGCCAGGACACTAGATTTGAGCCAAGGAAGACGCAAAACCCTGAGGTTGAACGTCTGTCATCAGTGTCTGATGCCCAGTCAGCATCACAGAAACCAACCAGACTCAGATTTTCTACAGGACACTCCCTCAAATGAAGACCATAGTCAATCGTCCCAGCTAGATATCTTAAGATTCATTTTACTGCTTTCCAGTGGGCTTCTAATGGAGTTTGCATGAATTGACAAACTTTATTACCCTGAGGTTGGATTTTGTTGTTGTTCCAAGATTGGCCTCGACCAAAGCCAAAACGTCCCCTACCTCTATTGTTTGAAGGACCAAAATTACGGCCAAATGAATGACCATAATGACCAGTGGAATTATAGCACTAGGAGCACCATAACCTCCTTGAGGAAAATAGCCGGGATCAGGATTAAAACCACCAAATCGATGATTCGAACCAGGTTTACCACCAATCATTACCAGATTGGCAGAAGAGAGACTGGAAGAGCTAGAATTACTAGTCCCATCACTCAACTTAATAGCTTTCTCAATTCGTGCTTCCTGGGCTAAAATTAGGGATTCTATCTCCTTGACAGAATAATCAGCGAAGATTGAATTTACACTGATTTCCAAGATATCATACTCATAAGGCAAACCATTAAAAATTGCATCTATATGATCTTTAATAGAAATCTCATGGCCAATTAGGGCAAGCATGTCAACAAAATGCCTAACACGAAGAAGATACTCGTTTGCAGTTAAAGAATCTTTGCGAGTATTTTGTAATTGAGTCTTAAACTGAGACTTTTTTGCTCGAATTTGGGAAGCAAAGTATACCTCAGTTGTATGTCAAACCTGTGCTGCAGTTTCGCAATTCACCATACGAGCAAGAATCGAATCGGACATTGAAGCAAGCATCCATGACACAAACAACTGATCTTGTTGTTCCCACTCCAGAAACGCTGGATTAATCACTCGAAGAAGCTCATCCTCCGGAGAAAGAAACCTCGGAGGAGATCTCACAGACATAGAGAGAAAATCATGAAGACGGTGACCACGAACGGTGGCAAGAACTTGTCTCCGCCATACCAGAAAGTTATTATGATCCAATTTAGACGAGATTGAATGAGCAAAAGTAATTGGAGCAAACCGAGTAGAAGAAGAAGCTGATCCGGAAGTATCCATGGCAATCGCCGAGAAGAAGAAATTCAGTCACTGGTGTGGCTCTGATACCATATAAGAAAAGCTTGTAAAGAAAGCTTTTCAACAGAATCTGGAAAGAGAAAATTAATCCAAAGATTGAGAAGTAAAACTGATTCTCATTAATCTTGAAATCTGTTACAACCATCTATTTATACATAACTTAATACAAGTAAACTAAGCTCAGCTAATGAGGAGGTTACACGTGTAATTCCTAACTACTCTAATGAGAACTAATACACTTCTTAACAAGGAGTAATAAACGTTGTGATATAATCAGACAATGCATTTATTCGGTTAACTAAAGCCAAAAACAATTCGGATCACCATTGTAAAACATACAACTCACACTAAATACAATTTACCGAGGGCCATTTGTGTTCTGTTTGGTAATTCAAAAGCGAGTGTTGTTGAGGCCTAAATCAATATGGTTTGCAAAGAAGTTCAGCTACAAATTCCTCAATGTTGTTGTTAGAGCTTCCTCCTTCATCCACTGCCTCCTTAGCCAATTCTCTCCACCTAATAGAATTCTCTTTAATACCTTTCCCTCTCTCTCCTTGCAGGACTTCCCTTATACAAAGCTCTATTTCTTCTCTTGGGACAATCCCACTTGGATCAACCCTTACCCTTAGGCCTACACGCCACACATCGGCAACAAACTTGGCGTTGGTCGTTTGGTCCGTCCATTGCGGCATCGCCACCATTGGAACTCCCAAACTAAGTGCTTCAAGAGTTGAGTTCCACCCACAATGAGTCACAAAGCAACCGGTGGACCTGTGAGATAAAACTCCTAGCTGAGGACACCAATTCACAACAAGACCCTTTTCAGATGTCTCCTCTACAAACTTGCTAGGAAGCTTTCCCACCTCCGATTCCCTTGCCACCCACAAGAAGTTGCAGTTGCTTCTCTTTAGTCCCTCTGCTAGTTCCTCCATCTGCTCGTTTCCGAGGTTGGCTATGCTTCCGAAAGATAAGTAAACAACTGAATCTACTTCCTTTGAGTCAAGCCACTTGATGCAAGCATCGGCATTGGGATTGAAGAGGCCGAAGCCATAATCCTTGTCTTCCTCTAACCTCTTGTCCAAGTACATTGAAGGAATGGTTGGGCCTATTGTCTTGATTCGCCATAGAGTTCTCATCCAGCTAACCACCTGATTGAAATTCAACTTGTATTAACACACTAAAAGCGTAATCACTAAACAAAGACATCGATTACCGTATAACTTATGCATAAATTATGAGGGAAAAAAAAAGAAAGACCTGCTTTATCAATATGCAACAAATTTTTTCCTCTTTTCGGGGAAATAAAAACTCCTCGTTAATGAAAAGCATTTCTTTTCTCCCAGCATCCTCCTTTGCGCTAGAGGAAACAAAGAGCTAGTAGATTTCCACATGTATCTTGCTAAAGTTCATGAGATAATATTATTTCAAAGGCTTGCTGCTAAAATAGAAGAAAGGGGATTGTCACTAAGAGGAAGCAGGGGTGAGTGAGTTACAATTGTTCTACGCTCATAAGTAACTGGATTTGATTCATGCCTTCTGATTAAGTGCCTGTAATATGATAAACTAATAAACTTACACAAATACCCCCGGTCTCATGACCTCAGGTGTTAATCCAAGATAACAAACCAATGAACCGCAAGTTTGACAAACCCAAAGTCAATCCAAGCAGCCTCCTCTCCACTAGGCCACGTGCTTGGCACGTGCCAAGATATGTTTTAAGATGGTCAATAGAAACTTCAAAGTACATTTTGACTGAAATTATCCCACTAGAATGGGAGAGCTCAGTACTGATGCAATATCAGGTCACTATGAGCAAGATAGACAAAGCAATGTTTTCTAAAAAGTGAACCATGTTCAACAAAAGCCAAAAACCTGAATCGTTTCCCCCTTTTTGTCTTTTTTTTTTTTTGGGAAAATTCTAGGAATTATAGGTGAGCAAATCAGTCCAAAAGTTCTGAATCTGAATCTTTCTAACAATGGGAAATTATACTATAGACTCATGCGACATCGATCACTGTAGTTAAAAACCAAATTAATTTGTACGAGAGTTTTCATGCCAATTTCATATTTCTAAACGTTATAAAACTGCCCCTATGATATAGCAAAGAGGATAAAGATTATATTACATGCTACCAGATAGGTTCTTGAGAGCCAAGCTTAAATGCTCCACCCAAACAAGTGGAAGTCCAAAGGGCCACTCTTCCAACTCTTTGCAAATTCAAAACATAGTTCCTTTTTAATTTTTTTTTCTCCCCAGATCTTTTTGCAGCTTTGTTGGAGATTCAATCTAGGTAGCATTTTAAAGAAACTGAAAAGATGATTTAATTGCCCTAGTAAATATAGAAAGATGAAGCTTATCTTAAAACTTTAAGGCTTACGCTTTGTTAACGACTTAGTTCAATATTTTTAAAACGAGAAAATATGCTCCTTGCTTTTTTTATTTTTTATTGTAGGAAAAAGAAATGCTCTTCGCTGATGACTCGAAAAAAATTGAAAATATGCATAAGCAAATTCAAGCGGCTTTTTGGCAGCATATTGGTACCAGTTACAAACCCTCTCAAAAGAGAAAAAAATTGAGACAAAAATTTTTGCCCCCTAAAAAGTAAACAGATTAGTTATTTTGTAATGTGTACCTGAGTAATTTGAACAAGAAAACTGATTAGTAGAGACAAAAAGTTGAACAACTGTACCTATAAGCACAATATATGCGTAGAAAAGAAACCAGTTGCGTCCCTGGTTTCTTTGAAACACATATGCTGCATTCATACTAGATTCTCAATTGCACCAAGTTTAACGGTATGCAAATGTGATGGAAAGTTTGGGGAGTACCTCTTTTTCCAAATTGTCAAAACTGCTGAAGAAGATCCAGTCGGCTTTAGTCAAGTTTGAAAACCGACTAATGACTAATTTCAGAAATGATGGGTAGGACCCCGGATCATAAATAAAAGAGGGCAGGTCATGTGCCTTTAGTGATGGCAACCCGGCTAAAGAAACTTGAGGCTCTTTCAAGGGAACTCTCAGCAAGTCTTGATGGAGGTAGTAGTAAATACATGCCACGGCACAAGAATGAGTGAAAAACGAGGCCCCAGATAGACCATGCCGTTTGGCCAAGTCTAGGATCCATGGCATGGCTGAATCATACACTAGACAACTGACGGGGAATCCATTGGTTTCTTGCTTCACAATGAGCTCAGGCAATCTCTTTGATGCAATGTTTTGGAACCACTCAACCATGTTTTCTATTTTGTCACTCTCTTCAAGCCCGTTGCAAATTGGCTCAAACCTTATTAAACCGGCTTGATTATGCGTTGCCTCATTGTTAGAAAAGGCGGTGACTAATGTGACTTTCAATCCTTTGGATGCAAGGCGCTTGGAGAATTGGAGCATTGGGTTTATGTGGCCTTGGATAGGAAGAGGAATGACTAATATGTGGGTAGTTTTATGGACTCTTTCTCTCTCCATTTTCTCCACACAGCTATCCCTCTCTCTGTCTGAGTAATGTTGTAGTGGTTAAGACCTACCTTCCAAGGCAAAAAATAAGCTCTCCCATAGTTTCTTATTTTTTTTTTTAAATAAAAAAAAATGACGGGCAAGTTACGAATAATCCAGCCAAAAGTAATAGGAATTAGACCTAAGACAATTCCAAATAGAAAAACTTCAATCATTTCAATTTCTTTGAAAGGTTAAAAGGAGAGGTAATATCTATCCTTAAATATTAATCGGTATTACCCATGAATCTCAATGACCAAGAACTGAAAATTTGAGAAAATTGACACGGTAAGAAACTATAGAATATATAAACTACCACAGAAGAATTTTTTTTATGAATTGTTGAGTCAATTAATTTCAAATAAGTCGTATCTTGTTCAGACCGATAAATAGAGCTAAGCCCAAGAAAGAGTAGTTTCTGTCTCCTTAAGAAATATAAAGATTGTTTTCTGTTGACAATTCTGATATATGGCCATGAGTTGAATTCACCAAAGAGAAAAAACAAATAAGATGTTAGACTAGAACATATATATTGTGCCATGATGTATATGGAACTTATGGCTTAACAGAACAAATCTGCATATGGGTAGAAAAATGAAATGGCGAAATGATATTATTAGCATAAAAACTATACAATAGAAGTACTGGTTTCAATAGTAATAAAAAACCCCAGTAAAAAAAAAAATGGTCCAAAATTCGACAAATTTGAACTTTTTGACATAAAAGTAATGCCCTAATCAGAAAATAAAATTGGTGGATTTTAACATGCTCCACAGAACCCTCTCTCTATGTACACACACAAAAACTCAGCTGGGTCTGATCTCTATAGATTTATTTGGAGCTCTAGCTCACTGATTTTACAAATTATGGTCACACGCGAGTTTCTCAATCCCACTATAGCTTTTTTTTTTTCCCAAAAATGGGCATCAGTTCAAACATTCTAAATCCAGAAGTAAAAGCGAGAATTGAAAGGGAAAAAAAGACCCATAAACATATTATGAGTTTCCAGCAATATTATAAGTAAGAACTGAATCAATTAAGAATAATCGTAATCCGCAAACATGCCCATCAAAATTAAAAAAAAAAAAACTGAAAATTGAATGCGTAATCAGATAGATTTCTTAATTTATTCTCAGCACCAAGAAGCAGAGAAGAATGAAGGTTACCTGTGAAGGTCAGAACAGCGCCTAGCTGATGAGAAGTAGGCTAAATGGTAAGACAAATAATAGGCCAGATTATACAAAGAATGTTTCACAAACTAGGCTACATATTCATTGTCTGGTCAATGATGACGTCCTAGTCAATCAATTGTGAGTTCGCGGGTGTAAACCACATATTTTTATATGAAAAAAAACGCTCACAGAAATGAGAGGTCATACACTCCCAAATTCCCATTTGCATCATGCATGACGGATCAAGATTTTTTTTTTTTTTTTCAGAGTAAAACCAAAATTTTAAATTAAAATTAAAATCCAATTTTTTTTATTACAGTTTTTTCTCCCGCATAAAATTTATTTTTAAAATCAAAGAAAAATATAAGTTTACATATAAGTATATTTGATTTTTTTTTTTCCTTTTTGTGTATTCATTATCTTAAGTTTGCAATATGCATACTTAAAAAAACAAAATTTGAGGTATATAACTGAAAATTGGTAAAAGAAATTCTACATCATGTATTGCAATTTAGAAAATTCACGGGTGGTAGATGGTAACAAATATAGTAAAAGATATTTTTGAGAGGACAAAACTACAGGCGGCCGCCAGGGTCAATGTAGCTTGACTCTTGCCCCCATGTTAAGAATTGTGCTCCTTAATTGAGCAATAAAATCGTAAAAGAAAAAAAAAGAATGAATAAACAAGAACGTGTGAGATTTATCATAATTCACTCTTAATTTAAGTGGTATGTCTACTTTCAATCGCTATAGAACTTTATTATGATAAAAAAAGAAGTTTATAAGAGCAAATCATATGCCTCTTAATTCTTTTTGTTGTCTCTGACTCAACGAAAAATTCATAATTTACATAGAGACTTATTGATAATAATTAAGCTCCGCAATTTAGCGTTTCAGTTTACATTTCTCTAATTATTTTCCATCATATTGTTAGTTAGTACAACGAGACATAAGTGGCATGGACCACCGAGTGTGTTTAATTATTGTGTTCGACTCTATAGACTATTTTAAATTTGAGTATTGAATCTCTCTTTGAAGGTTTTAAATGTGAAAGATTTACTTCTGTTAGTCTAATACGCTCTAATGTGTCTTTATCGATAATATAATTAGTGTGTCGAAAGTAATGCTCTCCTCATCGAAGGGTTAGAGCTTTTTACGAGATTCCTCCCCATGTTCTATGAATAAACAAGAACGTGTGAGATTTATCATAATTCACTCTTAATTTAATTTAAGAGGTATGTCTACTTTCAATTGCTATAGAACTTTATTATGATAAAAAAAGAAGTTTATAAGAGCAAATCATATACCTCTTAATTCTTTTTGTTGTCTCTGACTCAACGAAAAATTCATAATTTACATAGAGACTTATTGATAATAATTAAGCTCCGCAATTTAGCGTTTCAGTTTACATTTCTCTAATTATTTTCCATCATATTGTTAGTTAGTACAACGAGACATAAGTGGCATGGACCACCGAGTGTGTTTAATTATTGTGTTCGACTCTATAGACTATTTTAAATTTGAGTATTGAATCTCTCTTTGAAGGTTTTAAATGTGAAAGATTTACTTCTGTTAGTCTAATACGCTCTAATGTGTCTTTATCGATAATATAGTTAGTGTGTCGAAAGTAATGCGCTCCTCATCGAAGGGTTAGAGCTTTTTACGAGATTCCTCCCCATGTTCGAACAACGCCTTTAATAACGCTCAAGAGGTACACCAATGAACTGCCCTCTTCCCGAGTTTTTTCACAAGGGAAAAACATAGGGCTTGTTTGGTTCAACAACTCAAACTGTTGATATTTAAACCCTTTTTGTTAAAACTGTAGAATCTGAATTGTGGTAATTCAAACTGTAATCCGAACTGTTGTTTAAATATGCAAATAAATTGTAATTTGAATTGGAAATAAAATCCGAACTGTGTTTGGATAAAGTGTTAAAAACTGTCATTAGAGTTTTGTAACAAATCTTATAAAACCTCATTATAAATGACATTAAAAAATATGTAATATGGGTGATAATTTGTTCATCTCTTCATTATGAACACGTTAAAAAAATCATCTCAATCGAAATTAAAATAAAAAAAATTATGACATTTTTAATATTGAAATTAAAGAGAAAGAAAAAGTAGAATATGAAACTGTTGGACTATTGATAACAATTAAAATTGTTAGAATTTAGGGGGAGGGTGAATTTTAAAATTAACAGTTTGAGTTGTCTTTGAACCATTGTTAATGGTTTGAATTGTTCTTAAATTTTCCTCTGTCAAACACCAATTTGAATACTGAACTAAAGATTGAATTCTAAACAACAGTTTAAGTTATTATTGAAACACATAGGGACATAGTTAGTGGCTCATCTCTGTTGTAAATGCCACTTTAGCACTCACAGAAAGTTAAAAAAAAAATCAAGAGAAAAATTACCAATAAAGTTACTTATGTGTGTGAATTCTCTCTCTCCGGTTTATATATGTATTTGGCTATTTGCTTTCTCTTAAAGTATGGCGGTCGGAAGCGTTTTTTTTATTTTTTTTCTTTTGTGGCGGAGCCGAAGTCTGGTAATTAATATAGATCCTTCAGTATTTGAATGAAAGATTTATAAAGTTTTGCTCTTTTTTCCCCCCTTTGTAATAATAGGAATTGGTTTTGGTATTTGGTTTCATTGCATGGTATATATGCTTTGCCTAAGCTATGAATTATATGATCGCTTGCCAAGGAGTTAATAAACTGAAATATAAAGTATTACACCAGTGATACACTTCCTACAGAAAACCTACCTAATTACGTCTACACTGACACGAAAAAATTAACACGAATAATAGAAAAGGCCAAGGCATTAAATCCAACAAAGAATAAAAGAATTTAGAATCCTATGGGGCCTCTCCACTACTTGTGTAAAGTAAAGTCGGCTGCCATCTTATGCAGATGAAAAACAGGGTTTGATATCTTGACCATATTTGCATAATTCCAAAGCTAAATGATCTGAAAAGCTGTCAATTTCTAGCTCTCGATCTATCGGAAGTTTTCATCAGTTGTAAAGATATTGTTTGAAAAATCATTTGTAATAATTGGTGTGTCTTTTATCGGTATAAGGGATACATTTTTTTCCTTAAGTGCCATTCAAATTTATTGGTGGAACTTGTCATTCTTTGATCATTTGCGTAAACTGTCTCTTTCTATGACTTCACTATTGAATGAAAATCCCTTTTTTCAAAAAAAAAAAAAAAAAAAAAATATTAAGCTACACCCATGCATAAAGTCGACGGATATGTTCATTTTAGTTGGAAAAAAGAAAGAAAAAAAAAAACACTAGGTTCCGTCCCATTTTGATCAATCAGTTACAGTGGATATAGGAAGTATACCATGTATGCACTAATACAAGAAGATTATTAATATTGTTAAATATTCTGTATTTTATCTTTTTTTTTTTCCAATTGATAATGAACAATTAAACCTGTTCATATATACAGCACTTGCACACATATATTTTATTGATGAAAGCCCAAATATATATATATATATATATATATAGCTATATAGCTTGGATCTCAACGTAGACACACGTATATATTTATCTACTTAAAGAAGAGAACTAACAATAAGATTGAAATCATCTAAGCTAACAAATCCATCCCCATCCATATCCATGGAAGCAATGATGTTTTGACAATCTTCCAACTTCAATTCTATCCCTAAACTCCCCAAAACCTGAAACAACTCTTCCCCACTCACCATCTCGAAAGTCCCATCATTAATATTATTATTATTATTATTATTGAGAACTTCAGAAGCGTTCATGAGGTAGTTTCCGAGCCCTCCGAGATCGAGATTCTTGGTGTTCATCTCCAGAAACTCCTCCACGCTCAACAGCCCGTCCTTGTTCTTGTCTCCTTCCAACATCATGGCTTTCACTTCCTGCTCGGTCGGGTTGTAGCCGAGCGATCCCATGATTCCGCCGAGCTCTTCGGCGGTGATGGCACCGTCATTGTCGGAGTCGAAGGCCCTGAAGGCCTCCACTAGGCCCAGGACGTGGCTCAGCGCCTCTGTATTGGCTGAGATGGAGCTTAATTGAGCCATGTTTTGGTTATGAGTAGTTTTGGTAGCTAGCTAGGGTTTGGTTTATTCTTCTTTCTGGTGTGTAATTTCCTTTGTTATAGTGCATGCTGAAGTTTGCTATAAATAGAAAAATAAGTGATCGTGTCACAATGTAGCATTTTATTGGCCTATTTGGTGTGAACGAAAAAAAGTAGGGAATGCCAAAAAAAAAGGATAAGATAAGGTGGATTCTTATGCTTGTAAATTAGTCATGTCTTTCTTTTATCCTTTTTTTTTTTTTTTTTTTTTTTTTGGTGGGGTGGGGTAAGATTCTACTAGGTGAATGGGACTAGTGTTTGGATCAGTTGGCATTTGATTCTCTAATCTTTGACATATCATATTGAAGCCAGTTGTTCTCCAAATGCAGAATTGATAATCTTAGTTCCAATGTGTACCTCAACAATATTGGAATCAATTTGAGAGATGTTGGAGTACCCAAATATATCCATTTTTGCCCACATCCACATATACTCTTCCTACCGCCCACTCTATTTGTCTAAGATTTGGTGTTTTTGAATGCATTCTTCTAAGATTTGTCTCTTTATTTTTTTTATTAATATTGTTCTTTGACTAAGGTTATTAATAAAAGTAAAGGATAAAAATCTAAAACTCATTCATTTTAAAATTTATTTGTCTCTTTTTCTCTATTATAATTGGTCGAACAATATAGTGATAAGCTAATGATCACCAATAATGACCGATATATATAGTTATAGATATATTAAGAGAAAATGAGACAAATATTTCTCAAAATGCACGAGTCTTGAATTTTTTCTTTTTACACTTGATTAATACCATTTAGTCAAAAAATTATATTAGTAAAAGAGTATTAATTAAGAGTAAAGATTAAAAATCTTAAAAAAAATACATTTAAAGGGTGGGTTCACTAATTTTAAGGAAATTGGGCTGAGTGGCCCTTCTTTCACTCACCACAAAATTTGTGTCCTTTGTTTAAGCATCGTGGTAGGGATATCTAACGTGGTGAGACCAACATGGGAACCGGAAAATTGGAAAAGGCGCAATTTGTGCTTTAGATTTCTGGGTGACTCTAAAGTCACTGTAATTATACATAGCCCAGTTGAGCTCAAAAGGGAGAAGGGAAAAGATCCCCGCTTCCTTACACGCAAATTCACCTGCCCTAAGTTTTCTTAGAGGACGTTTGGTTTATGTATTCAGAATAATGATTCAGAATCATTCTCGTTTTACGTGTATTTTTTGTGAGAGAAAACACTGTAGAGAACCATAAATCATGATTCAGAATTAGAGACGAATATAGGAAACAAAGGTCCCCTAATTTAGGTAGATCGCCGGCGTTTTCAATCTTTTTTTTTTTTTTTTTAGTTTTTCAATTTTGTCCCCATCTTCTTCCTACCGCCCACTCTCTCCTCTGTCTCTCTCAATCTCTCTCAATCCACTCCATCTCTTGCAGACCTCTTCTATCGACCTCCCTATCTCTCTCTCTCTCTCTCTCTCTCTCTCTCTCTCTTTCTTCTATTTTCTGATTTTCGTTCTTCTATTTTAATTCCAGAATATGGAACAATTGAAAAGTTTTTTTTTCTAGATGAGTTTTGTATTATGACAACCCAGCTTCAATCATTTTTGGAGAGTGAGTGAGAGAGAGAGAGAGAAGAAGAAAACGCAGAGATAAGGGTGGCTGCTAGGGTTTGGTAGGCTAGATGTAAGGATGTTTTTGTCATGACAGGTTATAAATTTATTTTATCGGCCATTTGCGAACGTTTGGTTGATGGATTCAAAATCACGATTCAAAATTATTTTCAATTTACGTGTGTTTTTTGTGAGAGAAAATACTATAACGAACCACGAACTATGATTCGAACCATGACACGAATCCTTATAGCTTTTTGGTAAATTGCGCCCCATCATCGGCCATATATATGCTGTTATCCCCTAATTTTACATTAATAATATACCCAGAATCATAGACATTGTCAAATGGGTTGGGCCATGTCGTCTGCCTTGTAGACTGGTTTGGCCCAAACTCCATCTATTAATATAAAAGAGTGAATTTGAGGATTATTATGTTTGGAGAATTGGCATTATAGATATATATCATTTCTGTGCAAAACTTTAACTTAATTCACACATAAAAATGGTATTAGTGAAAAATTAGACTTCAAAAGTAATACTCATCCTAATTTACACTTTATACAAGGTCAGAAATGAGAAAATTCCACCACTTCTTGCAGTAACTTAACTGTGCTATCTCATTTATAATCTCTCACGTGTTAGCCCAGCACGTCGAAATGCCTCATAGAAAGTATATTAAAAAAAAAAAAGTTGTAGGGATGAAAATAAATTTTTTTGGAAATTCAATATCTCATTTATAATCTCTCACGTGTTAGCCCAGCACGTCGAAATGCCTCGTAGAAAGTATATTAAAAAAAAAAAAAAGTTGTAGGGATGAAAATAAAGTTTTTTGGAAATTCACGTATTAGTTAAGTAATTATATCAATCAAAAGTGTATTAATGAAGAATAAGGGATAAAAACTACACTCTAGTCAAATAATTCAGCACTTTTCTCTATAGTTTTCCTTGGGCTAGAATTCAACAGGCCTCTTTCTATCTCAACCAAGCCGATAGAAGGTTGTGCCCCAACTGGGTTCTACACAAGAAAGCCCGGAACGAACCCATATTTAATGTAATTTTTATTCGTCTCCTTATTCACTTGTATCACTTTTATCTGTGAACAAGTCTTAAATCCCTTTCATTTTATCAAATTGTATTTAGAATTTGAGTTTTGTTATAATAAAAAGCTCTAAAAAATAGTAATATTTAACTTTTTTTGCTACAGTAAAAAGCTCACATAAAGTCATATCTCAACTCAAATTAAAAACTCGAATCAGCGAACTAAACGGGCACTTAATACACTTTCCAAAATAACTACTTCTTGGTCATTGTTTTTTATGAAACAAAAAAGTTCTGTCTTCATATTTCATTTTATTTTGTCTTGAAAATTCGAGGGTAGAATTCAGGACCTAATTAATATAATAGAGCTATTTTCTCTAGTTTGTTTAAATATTCAATAGAGTCCACAAGTACTACAAGCATATTATAGCTCAGAAATATTATCAAACATCATGATTTGTTTTTGCTTAGCAAGTCTTTTTTTTTTTTTTTTTTTTAGGAGCTCGCAAGTCTTTTCATCTAAGACGTTAACATTGTACTTAGCCTTACAACTTATTAACTGTAAGAAAATATTTGGTAGAGATTCACGCAACCTCAAAACTTTTAAGGAGCTCCTTCTTTTGCCTGTCTTTTTCCCATATATCCATAAAATTCCACTCCCTTTCAAAACATAATGGTCTTTTTCCTATATATCCATAAAATTCCACTCCCTTTCGAAACTTAATTATTATTGGATGGATTATGCATATATAGATATATTTGAGATAGACACTCCTTTTAAACATGATTTTGTGGAGTTGATGAATTACCAAATCGTAAAATCGTAGGTCCCAATCTGTTTATGGCCTATAGATTTTCTTGACGCTTGAACTGATATAACAAATAAGTTTCATTAATGATAACTAGCCAACAAAACCACAAATTTCAACTAACCATTTCAGATACATATACATACATATATATGACAAAGGACAAGCGATATGGTCCAACATATAAATTGAAGTTTGCTGGTTTTTCAGTATCAGCTGGTGCTGTAGAAAGGAGAAGAAAACGAGGGATCTCATAAATATTTCATGATGATAACAAGGTGGTAGTTGTGTGTTGTTTGCGAAAGTTGCTAGTTATCAAAAATTCATCTTCCGGCCGTATATAACACCACTCACGTTATGCTCATTAAAAAAATAATAATAAATCAAATCAAATCAAATCAGAAACTCATTTCCGGTATTCTAAAGGATGTATAATTTGGTTAATTTATTAACTAAAAGAAAAATCTGTGATAGAGTAGATGTAAATAATAAGTTACAGATGATAATAAATAGTACTTTTAGGCCACTAAAGCTCTATGTATATGCTTAAAATTAATAGATAGATACACAATATACAATGTATATAAAACCAATAGGCGTTTCTTCGTCACAAGTCGTATAATTTCTTCAAGCTTTATTATATATCTAAACAATTCCAAAGCAGGAAGAATATAATTATTATTACTATTATTATTAGTAGCATTATTTGCTACGGAAAGTAGGACGAAAATAGCCTATGACTAATAAGTAAGTTTTTATCTCTCAAAATTAGGGAACTAGAAAACGCACCCATCAAGCATTAATATCTGCATGCATTCATATATATATAT